GATAAAAAATCTGGCAACCCAATTTTTAGTAAAATGACTATTCCTCATATGATGTCCAAATTCGATGATTCTTTTTGCTATGGCTCCGTAATTACGATACGGATCTAATGCTTCGATCAAAATAGAAATCGGAGCTCATGTGCTTAATGTGGTACCATTTATGCTTGAAGAAACGACGTCGAAACATAAGAAAAACGAGCGCAACGCAGCCCAAACCTATCCAAAACTCACTCGAGCCCCTCGGGACCCCGTAAGAACATACTAACAAGTCCCATAACATAAAACGAACCAACTCAAGGCCTCAAATCATGCATAACAACATTTAAACGACGAAACGCGCCTCAAATCAAACTAAATGAACTTTCGAACTTTCGACTTCCAAAAACTCACGTCGAAACATATCAAATCAACTCGAAATTAACTCAAATTTTGCACACAAGTCCTAATACAGCATACGGAGCTACTCATGCGCCTAAACTACCGAGCGAAATACAAATGCTCAAAACGACCGGTCGGGTCGTTACAACATTCCTTGGATTTCCCCACATCATATTTTTTGGCACACTTTCCTCACAAGAATTTTATCTTTAGGTCTCCATATAATATAAAAGCGCACACACACAAGAGGGGAGGAAAAAACACAGAGGGGGACACGGATAAAAAAAGCGGACAGGCCACCCAAAAAAAGGAAGAACGGCTACCAACCCCTAGGACTTAAGAGTCAGCCTACCCCAACTTCTCAAAAAATAAAAATACCCCCTACGAAATTTCCTCCCCAGCCGCACACCCTCCAAATCGGCGACACCTGCAGAAAAACAAACCACACACATACACGAAGCTGGACACACATCACACACAGGAGAAGGGATCTGGAAAAACAATGAAAAACAGAATAGAAGGGAGAGGGAAAAATCGGGGAAAAGAAAAATATTGGAGAGGATTTTGGGTAAATAAAAAAGGACAGATCTTGCTCTGAAATTTTCCTCCCTTCAATTTCCCATACCCAACGTCTCTGCTCCTCCATTTTTTAGAGCCTTCTTCCTCTATAAAAACCAGTCCAAAGGTCCCATAAACCCAGCCAAACAACCCCCAAAAAATCCATTGAAAATTAGCTTCAAAACAGCCACGAAAACAAAGCTCCAAAAGCCTTGAACTTAGCCAAAAATTAACTCCAAATACCAACCCAAGAAAGTCCAATTTGCGTTCGCCTATGAGGTTTTCATTTGCGGCTCCAGTGGCGGTCCGATTTGTAGCTGTATGCGTAAGAAACCATGTGGTATGTTGCTCGTTTTTAGTTAACACACTCATTCATGGGGATTCATTTTAATCAGAAAAGTTTCATTCTCGAGGTCCGCTCTTATTTTCGCTTATTGCTATTTTAGTCCATTTTCTTGTTGTTTATTTGTTCTGTGTTTTAAAGCTTGGTGGTTTTGCCCTCTTGATTAAAACCAGTATGTTTGGATTTGTAGTTGGTCAATTTTGTGGGCATATCGAGTTGTTCTATTGTTATTAAATTTGTTCTTGAAAGTTGAACAAAAAATTAATGAAACAATAATGTTAAGTTCATTGGAGCCATGGATTTTAATTTGAATTAATAAGAGTTGGGTTTGGAACTGACTAATGGATAGTGGCGTGGTCTGATACAGCTAATGATTGGGCCAGTGATTAATCTTGTAAATTTGGTGGGCTGTGTGGATTTACTGAGGTCCTGCATTATAACGTTTGAGTTCATATAACAAAATTTGCGGTTTAAGGCATTTTAACATAAGAAGCCATATGGGAATGAGTTTAGAGTGGACTGTTCAGTGGCCTTAAAACATAATATTTGGTCTTTGATCTAAAACTAAGAAGACTTGGACCTTAATAATTTTTGGGCTTCAGTTGTTGGGCTATAGAATATTGGTACATGGCCTATTTACTCCTTTAACTAATTTACTTCATTTTTCACAACTATTTTATAACCTATGGCCTTTTCAATAACCTCAAAACTAATTTAGGAAAATAATTGTTAATAATCGCTAGAATGCTTTAGGCGCGTTCTAATTTACTATTGTGATTGTGTACACGTTCGCGTGACATAATTACGATTCCCAAAAATAAAATCAATGTACGTGTTCGCGCGACTTTGGCCAAAACAATCTTGATATTTAATAAAGCGTGATTAATTGGGTACACGTATGCGTGACATGATTTTAAGCGCCCCAAATAAAGCGAATTTACACACATGTGATTCCCTTCAAAGATAAATTCATAACGCCATAATCAAGTAATTTAAAAGCGGTGACAGGTAAAACGCACATAGGTTCTAAAACGCATAATTAAATAATTTAATTAAGCCAGGTGGGATTAAAGCAACTGTGCTAAAACCACGAAACTCGGGAATGACTAACAACTTCTCCCGGGTAAACAGAATTCCTTGCTCGGTCTTCTGATTTTTGCAGGTTTTAAAATAGAGTCAATTTTCCTTGATTTGGGATTTAAAATAAACCGGTGACTTGGGACACCATAAATTATCCCAAGTGCCTACTCTGAATTAAATAAATAATTCCATTTCGATTAGTGTCACTTTAATTGGAAAAACTCCCTATCCCTCGGAAAAAAGGAGGTGTGATAAACACTCACTATTGGTGAGTTTCCTTGTAGATAGAGGCACTCCTAGGTACCTGAAGGGAAGTGTACCTAGAGTGAAGCGGTGTTGTGTCCGGATTTGCTCCTTAAATTGAGTAGAGACCCCTGCCAGGTAGACTGAACTCTTTTCCATGTTGGCTTTTAGCCTTGATGCATCAGAGAACTGAGTAAAGCAATCCATCATAAGCTTTATAGATATATAGTCTGCCCTGAAACAAATCAGTAGGTCATCTGCAAAGTATATATGGACTATCTCCATCTTTGAGCACTTTGGATGGTAATTGAAGTTTTGATTTAGCTTCAGTTTCTTCAAGGATCTGTTTAAGTATTCTATCACTAGGAGAAAGAGGTAAGATGACATTGGATCACCTTGTCTCAGACCTTTCTTTACATTGAACCTTGGATTCAACACACTATTGATCAATAAGGAGTAGCTTACGGTACTCACACATTACCTGATAAGCTTGACCATCCTGGTTTGAAATTCATACTCTAGTAGTATTCCTTCTAAGAAACTCCATTCCACAGAATCATGAGCTTTTCTTATATCCACCTTGATCATACATCTGGGAGAGGATGACTTCTGTGAATAGCCTTTCATCTGTTCATGTGTTATAATCACATTATCTAGTATGTTCCTTCCTCCAATGAAAGCTGATTAATATGGACCTACTATCTGATCCATTACTGGCTTTAGCTTTTCAGTTAATATTTTTGCTATGATCTTATATAGTGTTGTGCAACAATAAATTGGTCTATATACCTTGAAAAATGATGGATATGAGGTCTTTGGGACCAATGTAACAGTAGTACAATTTATCTCTTTCACTAGTTTGCCAGTATTAATGAATTCCTTTACTGCTTTAGTCACATCTTCTCCAATGCAGGGGAGGATCTATAGTATCAGGTATGGATTTCCAGGAACCCAACAACTTTTATCCGGACTTTGTATTTGCATTGAGATATCTATTAAATGTATAACTATTTTTAGTTTGGAACCCATAAGTAAACGCAGCTGTTTGTCCAGTGGCAAATGGAGGAACCAACTTAAGCCACGTCCCTAAATATCTTGCGAGTGTTCGAATTCAATTGTACACAATCACTTTTTTTGTTTTTTCCCCACAAAACAACACCCGTAGGCACTTCTTTGTTTCTATTTTTCTTTTAAAAACTGACCAACCAACATTGGAAAAGTTTCTTACTTGTCGAAAGTATAACTTTTCTCAAATGCGGGCAACCCATAAGGTTCAAATCTTAAATCCGTCTCTGCTCCAATGACTGGCCAAAATTCCTTAAAGAATTCAGCCGAATACCCATATATGTCAGGTGCCTTGTCCATCGGTAACTCTTGAACAGCTTGCAAGATTTCCTCTCTAGTCACTGATAGTAGGAGTCGTTGTCGTTGTGCAAGTGACAAGCAGGGACCATTTCTTACTGTGTTTACATCAATTCCAATCAAGACTAGAGACGCTTCCCCTAGTAGCATTTGAAAGATGTGAAATGTTATTTGCTTTGATTTATTGTCCTAATACACATTTAATTACTTATATTGCTGTTGATTTCAAGTGAATATGATCACTTCCACCAGATTCTAGCGCACCTATTTTTTCATTAAGTTTATCATCATCAAAAGAAATAGTGAAATTTCCTTATTTTGGCAACTTCAATATGAAAATCAACGATCCTCCTAGAGACTGGGAGATCGATTTGATTACACGTTACGAATATTCTTTTAATTGTATGACTTCTTTTACAGGAAATCGGTAAACAAAATATAAGACACAATTATTGTTTTATTTTCTTCAATAGAAATTTGCTAGTATCTGTGATTTTATAACATTGATAAGATCAGGGGCGGACATATGTTGGACGAAGTGCTGTCACACAACACCGCTTCGTCGGAAAATTTTACTAAGCGTATGTAATTTGCTGTGAACATCTAATTTTTGAACATATTTAATTCTTTTCATCATTTTTAGCATTTAAATATCTTTTAAGTTTAATCTTGATATTTTAGCTTTAGTTTCACCCTTTTATAGGTTTTATTTATGGAAAATTAAAAATCAACAAAAATATTCATGCTTTTCGATGTTAGTTTTATTTTGTAGTTACAAAAGATAGAAAAGTTTCCAAAAGAACACATTTTCATCTAGGCTAGTTTAATTTCCAAGCTTTCAACAAATATTTCCTATGTAATTAATATCTTTATCCTGCAACTTCAATTTAATTGTAGTAGTATTTAATTTATTACCCTCTAAAAGAAATCAATAAGGAAAATCAAGGAATAGGGATTAGGGAATGGGCACATGAAAAGATTCTTTTTTATTCAAAACTAGGCGGGGATGGCCTGTGCTGGCACGGGCCCAATATTTGCTGGTATGAAAATATAATTGAATACAAACATCAAGGTACTACATATATTCCATTTTGTTTATCAATTGAATATAACAACTCCCCTTATTAAGAGTTGAAAATACGTGATCTATTTGCATGCACTTCGAACAATAGTTGATCTATAGTGGTAATATTCACATACATATTATATTTACAAATCTCAAGTATCTGATACAGGCAAAAGGTGATGATGCATTTATGCAACCAGCATGTTATCGGCAAGCACCATAGCACCATTGTTGCTCTGACAAAAAGTCGATACATGTCATGATTGTTGGTTAGCGTCTGGTTCCTTTATGTGAAAACAGGAAAAGTATATATATGAAAATAGTAGAGACAGAGAGAGAGAGTGAGAGAGAGAGAGAGAGAGAGCAGTGAAGATGGATTAGTTGATTGTAATTTGACATACCTTTTAGAGCATTGTCTGTCCTACACAATTCCTATGCAATCCTGTCTTTCCTTCCGTATAGCTTTCAGAAAAGGCAGTAGTTTTAAATATAGCATGCTTCAAAAAAGCTCCTGCGTGAAAAAAAGTTCATGAATACACAAATACTCCTCACGGTTGAATATGAATTAGTTAGGAATTAGCTGCTAGATTGGTTTACAAAAGACAACCGTGAATTTTTTTTGAGAAGACTGAATACTTCAAAACCTCCAATCAACAAATATAATATCTTTAGAAGTAAGATGAAGAACCATAACCCATGGTAAAAGTGTTAGTGTTTAATTACAGCAAGAAGAGAAACATGAACATCAAAGAGAACATAAAAATCCTCACTCTTGCTCATATTAAGAACTATATTTAGAACCTCGTCTTTTTTGTTTCTACTAATAAGCAAAAAAATTATTATATAACGAATGGATGTAATAAGAACAAACTAATTCAATTTGGTTTCTTTACATACTTATAGGGGACACAAAATTCCGCAACTGTATTTTGATGAACTTAAATAAGAAAATTAATACTGCTTCATAATACCTTCTATAAGTATTCTAAACCTATATATTTTCCCCCAAGTCAGAGGAATGCACAACTTTATATTGTTGAAAGCAATCCTAGTCTAATACTCCTCAATAACCCAAAAAAAAAAAAAACCTGATAGTTCAACAACCATAAGCTAACTAATAAGAGATGCACGCAAAAAAGGGGTAATGCTTGATTTGATCAAGTTGGAGATTGGAAAAATAAATTGAATATGCTAAAGCAAATTGCCAGACAGAGAGTGAATGTTAATTAAAAAGAAGCAACTCAATGCAATCATGTAGAGAAGTTATCAGGAGGATTCGACAAAGAAGAAGATAAGAAAGTATCATACCCAAAGGAAAATATGAGAAGTCAAAGGTAAGGCCAAGAAACACATACCATTTTTCAAGTTTGCCATAGATCGGTGAATAGTCGTCAATAATTTTGTGATCTTGCTAGAAAATCTGCATTGCAAGAACCAGAAGTAAATATGGTGCAATAAAACAGGGAAAAAAGTTATAAGAACGAAGAATTAATTAGTGTAGAGAAACTAAACCCCAAAAAAAATTAGCAGAACTACTCACAGCTAGAAGGCAAGAGAATCAAAGAGGCTGCTGAAGATTTTTGATTTTGAGCCATAGAAGCAAAATAGAAAAGAACAAGTACGTGGCTATTCATTTCTAGGTTAAAAGACGTGTACAATCATGTTTTAATGTTACCTTCATTTGTTTAAAGATTGTAGAAAATCCTGTAATTGATTACTCTTTGCATCTTCTAGTAGCTCAATGAGACTTTTGTTTCCACCTACTCGAGTTTCATTAAGTGGATAATTTCCACCTGCAAAGATAAGATGATCTGGTACATATTTGAGTTGTCAAAAAACAATTGTTTAATAATTATCAACTTCTCTTTGCAGGCATTAGGAAAACAATCACATATGACCATGCAAGTCCTGATAATACAACGATAAGTAGAAGAATACTTTACTGCATAGGCTTCTCAAATCTGCAACATAAAAATATTTTACATATAGAGATGAAGCTGCAAACTTCAGTAAAGGATCAGACAACTCTTATCATGCTTGTAGTTCAAGGTGAACTCATTATCACCTTAGATAAACACTCCACAAAATTTGATTTGTTACTCTTTTTAATTTCCTCGTCATTTATGTCTCTTCTGACTTCATATCTATGTTGATGTGTTACTGAACTAATAATAACTTTAGATATTCTTTTTCACAAGAACAATCTTGTATTTTCTTCAGTTTAAGATATTTAAAACTCTCTAAGCTTGTTTATTAAATAGGAGTTAGAGGTTGTTATCAACTTGACGTTTTACCCAGTAAAACGCAGGGAAGTTTCTTTACCTTTTCAATTAAGGTGAATCAATTTCTAAATGCCAATTTTTAACAGCAAACTACATGAAAGAAAGACTAACACCTTTTAAATAAATAGCAACGTCACATCAGGCTCTTGCTAAACACTTTTTTGCACAGATTATATCAAGTTTTAGCCATCATATTGGAAGAATATACTTTTTAAAAGGTAATCTGCATTCCTTAGGGGAAAAGTTTTACTCACCGAAGTCGAAAATGTTGAGTAGACACAAGAACATGCAATTATCACAATGTAGAGTATAACCTGATACAAAGAAGATGAAACAAAACATAACAGTAGAACCATCAGTAACATACAGGCGCAACAAAGATGTTGGAGAAAGGCTGTAAATTAAGAAGAAAAGCAAGCAATCCATTGAAATCTGATTAGGAGAAAATGACTAAATTTATTTCAGCTCATTCTCATAACAGAAAAGCATTAACGATTAGGCTGTAAACATATCCCCAATTCAAATTTTGTCGGGCAAATGAATTCCAAGGGTTAGACCTTTCCACCAAGACAATCCACTAAAAAATTCAACATGCGGCTCAAAGGACTGAACGATCGAAAGAAGTTAAATAAACAATTATGAAAAATAAAAAAAGAGCACCTCAATCTTTCCGAGAAAATCGTAACCAATCACTCTACATATAAAAATTTGTAGTTATCCCATCCACCTTCAAAGCCTAACATAAAAACTGGTCGTACCATCAAATAGGGCACACGAATTAAGGGAAAATAGCAGTAAATTTGACATAGCTGGTACAAAATCCACAATATATTTTCAACATTGTCTAATACTTATATATGTGTGTTATAATTTTTTAAAAGAGGTCAAACAAAAACGTACAATATTTAAAAATAAATGACGAGAGATTGGAAAATTTACCTTCCGGTTCGAGTGCCACTGAATAACAGAGGTAGAAAACAACCGCAACGGATCGCAAGAACTGCAATAATAAAGAAGATAAATTGAAAAACTGCATGCCTCCACAAAATGGAATTAAGAATATGAGTATGATTATCTCCATACGAAACTTGATACAAAATAGACAATCAATTGACGGGTTACTTTGTGCACCAAAAGAAAACACTGATGAGCTAAAAGAATGATTTAATATCATCATCTCAGTAACTATAAATGAAGTTCATAAGAGGAAAATCCTCCCAAAGTCCTCTATCAAAAAAATCCTTTCACGATTCTCTGGCGTGCATCCTAGCATGAAGTTTTTTCGCAAAAAACTTAAGCTCATTTAGGACTTATATTCTACACTATGAAAACAAAACAGTAGCAAATGCTGAATAATGAGGATTTTTTTTATCAAGGAATAAATTCATTAACAATGGAGAAAACCCTCTCGTATAGAAGAAGTATACTAAAATGTAGATAATCTGCAAAAATAAATGGTTCTCTGCAAAAGACACCCATTCTTTAATATAAATAGGGACCTTACTGCTGCACTGGAAAAGATATCAAAGATAAGAGAATGTTCTTCAAATGTAGAAAATCAAGTTCACTTCCTTCAAACAATATCTTATTTCTCTCTCACTCGGTACAACTTACATTAAATCCAAGTAACATAGGAGATCCTCCTCTTACTCAAATTTTCGGCAGTTACAATCGCTCTAGCCACCAACCATACGGAAAAACACACCTCTGTAGGTACCCTTGGGATCCAAACTAAGAATTGGGGGAAGACTAATTGATCTCTAGCGAGCAACTTAAGAATTTTGGGAAGAATAATTTGATCTCTCGTGAGCAACTTACTGTAATAAGACTTTTTTATATGAAGTAAAATGGTGAATACTATTATAAGAATTCACTCGGAAGCGATCATCATTCCTTAAGTCCCATCTCCAAGAATCCAAACTCTCTAATGAAATGGTTTGTTTGTCAATCATTTTAAGAAGACTCTGAAATTCCTCTAACTCCCAATTCCTCCTAAAATGAAGATCCCAAATGACATTCCATGCTTCCGTGGTACTACTATTTTAAAAGTTACTACACCTCCCTCTTTCCTTGTTCTGTTGTTTGTCTCTCATTTCAGAAGGTTGAGCAATAATGTAAATCTGAAATAGGGCAACGTTAAACAGATTTTTATCTCTAAAATACAAATGCCAACCAAATCAAGAGTGGAGGTGAAGCTTCGTAGTACAGATCAGCGAAGTAAAAAGTCAACTTTGCCTGAAATTCAAAAATTGTTTGTCTAGACTAAATTTAATTTCATTACCACAGGTGTCATTTTATTTCATTTAATTTGTTAGTATATTGAGTATCAAAATAAGAACCTTCAGTTGGAATCATTTCTCTGCATCTTCACTATTACATGGTCACAATGGTGTAGTGTGGGATTTAAATATACAACTTTCTTATTAACTTTGAAATACAATATTATTACAATAGTATTCAACAAAGGCTAACGTATTGGGAGTATACTTCTACATTTTAGGGACATGCATTTTAGACTATAGGAGACTAATATCTGGATACCTCCTAAAAACTTCACAAAAACAGACTGAATCTTAAAAGAACTTGCAGGAGGTAGTCCAGACATGTGCAAATAGCAAAGTGAAAGACGGAGAGGTCAGTAAAATTTGTCCAGCAAAGAGTTAAACTAAAATATATGCAAGTCTACCTCGTGAACTTATTTACAGTGTCTATTTTCGGTGCATCTCTGTCACCTTTCACCAGCGGTTACAAACAGCGAGGATGAATTTAAAACAAAAAAGAAGAAGAAACAGATAGAAAACAATAAAATTTCCCAAATTCATCCATCAAAACCCCAGCTCGAGAATTTCCGATTCTTCTGTGGGTTAATTGATTTAGTTCAAGAGATTTGAGAGAGAAAGTAGAAAAATTCAGCACAAATCACAGGTACAAACACAACTCACAGAGAATGGATTAAAAGCTAGAAACTAAGGAGTAAAGCTGATACAGAGCAATAATCGAGCAAAATAACATTGAATCAAATTCAAATCTGAAATTCAGAAAGAAATTTTTACCTGATTTCGAACTCGTCTTGGCTCTGGAGCGTTTCTCTGATGGTTTTTCTTGTGTCTGCTTTGCCAAGGAATACATACATTGAAAGAGAAAAAAGATACATGTGGTAATAGGAAAAAACGTACACGTATATCTGGGAAGAGCACAAAAGGCACGTATGTAGCTACTGAGAAATGACTGAAAGGCCCTCAGACTTTTTAAAAAAGAGATCCAAGCAGACATGTCGAAAAACTTTCTCTTCTAAAGAAGAGAAAATAACAAACTCCTGTTATCCATACCTTCCCTTTGATCTTGATTTAGAATCAACCCTCACGTCACTTTGTCACAAAAATGGCACACACCGTGCACTTTAATTTCACTAGGCTAGCGTTTGGCCATAAATCCCAAATTTATTTTGAAAAATTTGATTTAGGTGAAGTTTGGTTTGAAGATGAAAATATGTTTGGACATACATTTTCAAAACATATTTTCCAACTTTATTTTGGAAAAACATGTATATAATTCCCAAGTTGCTGAATTTTGGTCCAAAATCAACTCAATAGCTGACTTTGGGATTTGAAATTTTGGATTTGGGATTTGGCCAAAATATGAGCAAAATTTATGGCCAAACATGAGTTTTGAAAATAAATCCCAAATTTATTTTGGGAAAACTCATGGCCAAATGGGGCCTAGATTTTTCCATTATTTGCACATATTTCACTCATACTCTAAGGCCCCGTTTGGCCATACATTTTGACAACGTTATTCCAAATCTTTTGTGAAAACATTATTTGTTCATAGATTAATGATCTATTTTCGACAAAATTTTGAAATTATTTTTCAAGTTCCCAAAATCTACCTAGATTTTGGGTGAAACTTGTTCTCCCACTCACAAAACTTCAAATTTTTTTCAAATAAAATGCATGTCCAAACATAATTTCAACTTCCAAAAATTATTTTTCAAAATTACTTCAAAAATTATTTTTTTAAGTTTCAACTAAATCTATGTCCAAACGCTAGCTAAGCACTTTCCAGGGAATTTCAGGAGGCCCCACTTCCTTTATTCCTTCACACATATTATTAGCCCGTTCGGCCAAACTGCAAAAATCAGCTTATTTTGAGAAGTGTTTTTTTCAAAAGTGCTTTTCTCAAAAGTACTTTTGGTGAGAAGCAGTTTGTGCTTGGCTAATTAGTTTGAAAAGCACTTCTAAGCAACAACTAGTGTTTGGCCAAGCTTTAAAAAACTGCTTCTAAGTGTATTTTTCTCAAAAGTGCTTCTCAAAAAAGTGCTTTTGGAGAGAAGTTACTTTTTTCTGCTTCTCCAAAACTGCTTCTGCTTCTCCTCAAAAGTACTTTTTTTCCTTCCAGAAGCTTGGCCAAACACCTCAATTTTTGGCCATAAATACTTTTGGCCAAAAAAAAGCACCTTTGGCGAAAAATAAGCTTGGCCAAACAGGCTATATATCAACACTCACCACACACAAAAAGAAAAACAGACAAAAGGGGAAAAACACAGAAACAGAGAGAGAGTGAGGAATTTGATACAACCATTCTCATTGGCTAAAATACGACAACTGAAAATCCAATCCTCTCTCTAAAAGTTTTCTCTCCCTTCTCTCTAAATGTCAAACACCAAGGTAGACCCCACCCGTCCACCTGAACCACCTGACCAAACTAAGGAGACATCGACAACTCAGCTACCTCCCCCCCCCCCCAAAACTCCCTCTGACCAGGTAACGGTTAGCCCAACGACTAATAACCCCAAGGCCACCGACGGAACCACCACCGGAATCACAGCTACAGTCACAACACCAACAGAAAACACCCAAAATAATTCTCCTGATACCAACCAAACACCCAATTCTGATGTTAACATCACCCAGAAACACACCCAGATTAACAACCACCCTGCTTACCCAAAAATCTCCACTAATTTCGATCAACCCCAACCCAAAATCAGTCACACAAACGACCTTACTAAAGGAGACCAACAAATCATGCAAACACAAAATAGCAAACAAATACCCAACCCCACCTTTCCTAAACAACAAACTGACGGATTTCAAGGGAGTAATTCCACCAAAAGTAAACAATTGGTTTCTAAACCAACTTTTGCTGCTACTGTCCAAACCAACCTCAAATCTACTGACATGACACCATGGTTGAGATTCAACATGGCACACATCTTGGTAAACCGGCGGTTTTCTTCAAGGCGCAGGATTACTTTGTTAATTTAGCAAAAGAATGCAGATTCACCATCATTGGTAAGTACTATCGAGGTAAACCATCCATGGAGGAAATTAGAAAACCTTTCATTAGGCAATTCCAACTCTTTGCCTCGGTCAAGATAGCATATTTCGACCCTAAGCATGTTTACCTCGATTTTGCTAATAAAGTTGATTACAATCACGTCTTTGCTAAGGACTATATAGACATTGGCGATTCCCCTATGAAAATTCTCAAGTGGACTCCGGATTTCAAACCAGAGGAGAAAACGACCATTGTTCCTGTTTGGATCCTAATTCACCAACTCCCCTGGCACCTATTTAAATGGAATATTATTTCTAGACTAGTGCAAGATGTTGGTATGGCAGTGGCTCCGGACCTGGCAACCTATTCTAAATCTAGAGGCAATGTTGCAAAGGTTAAAGTCGAAATTGATCTTTTAAAGCCTAGACTTGATCAAATATGGCTAGGCTATAAAAGATTAGATGGAACTGATGATGGAAAGTGGCTTGACATTGAATATGAAAAGGTTCCAAGCTATTGTGTGTATTGCAAAATGCAAGGTCACTATGAGAGCTAATGCAGAAACAAGATTCGCGATGAAAGAATAAAAGCTCAAAAGGAAGCTCAACTCAACAAGGAAAAGGAACAAAAAAGAGATAAGCCAAAAGAAGATGATTTTCAAACGGTTTCTAAGAAGAAGAGTGCCAAAGTGAGGTTTCAGAACAATAGTCATATGGAGATGGCCAGCAAACCTAATGAACATAACCTGGAAGATCAAAGATCGAATGGAATGCAAAGCCAGAATCATCAATCAGTGAACCAAGTTGTGAGAGATAAGGTAAAAATTGGAATTGTTATCAATGAGCCTACCGAGATGCAGAAGCCTCCCATGAAGGAAGATGTACCTGGTAAAGGTAAAAACAAAATGGAAGAAGAAACCAAACAAAACAACATACAGAGGAGTGAGCAAAATACTAACAAAAAGAAGAGGGTCAGAGTGAAAAAGAAGAACCAAATCACCAGTAGCAATGAAGCTCAACCCCAAAACACAACCTTGGAAAAAGGCCAACCAAGCAGTAAGAAAACTGATACAACAACCAAACCATCGGAGCAGAATACTAGCAACAAAGAAGACAACAACAATCCCGTCGACAATGATCAAAACAGTAGACACTCGTTCCAGGAGAATAATACCAATGATGAGAACAACACCAATCTCATTGAGGAGGAAGGCAACAGCAGAAGCGGACCATGACAAAACAACAACAAAAACAACCATGTAATTGTTCCAGGAGATGCCCATAACACATATCTTAAACTTATTAGTGGTACCAGCTTAGAAGAGGATAAAGAGAGTGAAAACATGTACATCTCCAATAATACTCAAATGGCAGAATTATCCTTTGAGGATGATGGGGAAGAGGACAGCAAGGAAGATAGTGACTATGAGGATGATATGAGCATTGAAGAATCTGACGATTTTGAAAGTGTTGACAGTGAAAGCTTTCAGAATGAGGATCAACCTGTGAACCATACAACTGATGATCATGCGGCACAACTAATTGAAACTTTCAATTCTAATGCCTTAGTGGAGATAAATGTAAGCTCTGAAATTAATAAGATTGTTGAAAGAGCTCACCTATCACCTAGAGGTAGAGGAAGAGGCAGAAATAACATCAAGAGGGGCAGCCACAAACCAAGAGGAAGAGGTGGAAAATTCACCTATCAACAAGCTGTGGTTATACCACAGGAACAAAACCTTTCCAACTGATTCATGATGTTTAAATCCTTATATTGGAATATTAGAAGCATCAGCTCTAGTGGTGCTTTTGATAGACTAAAGCAAATTATCCGGCTACAAAATCTTCCTTTCATTGCTATTAGTGAACATTTTCACAAGGTAGATCATCTTGATAAGTTCAGATCTATGCTGGGCTATGATAATGCTCATGCTAATATCAAGAGTCAAATGTGGACCTTCTGGAACAATGAGCTGAATTGTAATGTGGTGGAGGATTCAGATCAACAGGTTACTTGTATAATTGAGTGGATGGGAACAAACATCCTTGTTACTTCTGTTTATGCAAAATGTGATGCTGGTTTGAGAGAACACCTCTGGAATAACCTAAGGGATATCTCCCTGAATTATAAGCTCCCTTGGTACATTACAGGAGATTTCAATTGTATTATTGATCTAAGTGAGAAACAGGGTGGTAACCTTCACAGAATGTCCAAAAGCATGCCTATGATACAATTTATCATGGATTGTGATCTTATTGACCCAGGCTTCTCAGGCTCACAATTTACCTGGTGCAATGGATGGTCTCCAAACAGAAGAGTCTGGAAAAGGCTAGATAGGGTGTTGGTTAACCAAGAATGGATGAATATCTATGACTCTACTAATGTCAATCATTTGGTTAGGACATGCTCTGATCACTCACCCCTCCTCACTATTGCTAAGAATACATCACAGCCTACTATCAAATATTTCAGATTCTTAGATTTCTGGACTAACGAAAATGGTTTCAAAGGTGGTGAAACAGGCTTGGGATATAGAGGTTCATGGTTCCCCTATGTGGAAATTCCACTTAAAACTAAAAAATACATGCAGATGCCTATCCCATTGGACTAAGACATCTATTGGTAATATTTTTGACAACGTCAAGGACCTGGAAAAGAAGATGGATGATCTTGAACAAAAGTCCATTACAAACAACACTGCTATCAATAGGGCTGAGCTTAACCGCATAAATGCGCTTCTTTCAGGGCCTATAAAACTGAAGAATCCATATGGAAGCAAAAATCTGGGATCAAGTGGTTTGTGGAGGGGGAAGTGAACACTAAATTCTTCCACTCCATTGTCAAGGGTAGAAGAAAGAGGTTAGCTCTTAAAAAGATCAGGCTAAGTGATGGCACCTGGATTGAAGGAAATGAGCGTATTGCAAATGAAGCTATATCCTTTTTTCTAAAGCAATTCACTAGAGAACATACGGACTCCAATTTTTCTATCCTTAATTGTATTCTTAAAATTATCAATGAAATGGATAATGATGGCCTTACAGCCATACCTTCTATGGAGGAGCTGAAAGCTGTCATTTTTTCCATGAGCCCATATAGTGCACCTAGACCGGATGGTCTTTCTGGAAAATTTTATCATTCTTGCTAGGATATTATTAAGGATGATCTTTTACTAATGATCAATGACTTCTTTGCAGGTAACCAAATTCCAAGGGCCATGACCCACACCTGCCTAATCCTCATCCCTAAAGTGAATAATCTTCAAGCCTTCAATGAACTAAGGCCTATCAGCCTTGGCAATTTCTCATGCAAAATCATATCGAGTCTTTTATACCAAAGATTAAGCCCCCTTATGGACAAACTTATTTCTCCTTACCAAACAGGCTTTATCAAAGGAAGATCCATAACTGAAAATATCATGATGACTCAGGATATGGTCCATAATATTACAAAACCTTCCACCCATGGGAATGTTGTGTTAAAAGTGGACATGGCTAAAGCATATATGATCGATTCTCATGGGAATATCTTTGTAATATTATGAGGCATTTTGGTTTTAATGAATCTTGGATTGATATGATTTGGAGACTTATGTCTAATATTTGGTATTCTGTAAATATCAATGGGAATAGATAGGGGTTTTTCAATTCCTCTAGGGGATTAAGACAAGGGGATCCTTTATCTCCCTCTCTTTTTCTTATTGGGGATGAACTTTTTTCCAAATTAATGGAGTCTTTAAATAATCATGATTTTATCCCTTTCTCTATAGATAGTCATGGTCCTGTTATATCTCATTTATGCTATGCTGACGACACAATTCTATTTTCTTCAGCTGAACCTGAATCCTTGAAGATCATGATGGAAAAGATGGAGACTTATGAGAAAATCTCAGGACAATTAGTGAACAAAGCCAAATCTGGTTTTTATGTCAACTTCCAAGATGATGATATAAGAATCAACCAAATCAAACAGATTACTGGATACAATCACTGCCACTTTCCAATGCAATATCTTGGATGTACTATCTATATAGGAAGGAAAAAAGTTGTTTATTTTAACAACATGGTGGCTAACATAGCCAAAAGGCTCCAAGGATGGCAAGGTAAATTTCTAACCTATGGTGGCAAAGCTGTTCTTATTAAATCTGTTTTGCAGGCCATTCCACTTCACACTCTATCAGTGTTACATCCTCCCAAGGCAACTTTCTCCCAGATTGAAAAGATCATCTCTAACTTCTTTTGGGGAATGGATGGCAACAAAAATAAGAAGCATTGGATTGCTTGGAAGACATGTGCTTCCCAGTCGAGGAAGGGGGAGCTGGTTTCAGATCTCTTAAAGACACATGTGATGCCTTTTCTGCTAAGATATGGTGGAAATTTAGAACTAAAAAATCCCTTATCAAAGATTTTCTCGAAGCTAAGTATTGTAAAAGGTTTCATCCTGTTGCAAGAAGAAAAGCTCAAAACCAATCTCATTCTTGGAGAAGAATGATGGACATCAAAGAAAAGGTGGAACCTTATATCTCATGGAATCTTGGAAGAGGGGAGATCTCCTTCTGGTGGGATTCTTGGACAGAATTTGGGCCCTTGGCTCAACTGGCGATCAACACCAAGACTCCTAAAAGAATTATGGTCAGGGAGTTCTACCATCAAAATACTTGGAATCAAAGTAAATTGAGGAGCATCCTCCCCGTGCATGTGGTCAACTATATCAAAGACATCACCTTCAATATTGATAACGAAGATAAACCCATATGGACCCCGGATCCTTCAGGGGACTTCTCTTGCAAATCTGTATGGCACACTTTGAGATCAAAGAAATGGACTACTTTTACAGGTATGACTATTTGGCATAAGAAGCTTCCTTTTAAAATTTCCTTTTTTATGATGAGAGTGCTAATCGATAAAGTAGCAACTGATGTTTCTATTAAAAGATTTGGGGTGAATATTGCTTCTATATGTAACTGCTGCCCCAATAAACATTATGAGGAATCTACTAACCATCTGCTCAGTGGAAGTCATACCAATCTAGTCTGGTCTTTCTTTTGTAACTCCTGTGGTATCAGATTGGTCCAAGACCAGGTAAGACACAGAATTATGAGGTGGTGGTTGACTAAGTCTAAAAATGAAGTTCAGAAGACAGTTCTTCAGTGCCTGCCCTCAATCATTTGCTGGCAAATTTGGAAGAACAGATGCTCTGCTAGGTTTGATGATAAGCGCATGTCCCATCATTTCATCATCCAACAAGTGATCAAAATGACAAATATGCTTATCCAGACGAGGTTCCCAGAGCTTCAGCTCCAGCACCTATGGCAGGACACGTACAGTAGAATTGAGAAGCTTTCCCCTGCTATTCAGTGTCAGATTGTTTATTGGCAAAAACCTTCAGTGGGCTGGGTTAAACTTAATGTCGATGGCTGTAGCAAAGGTAACCCTGGCCCGACAGGTGGTGGTGGTCTTATCAGAGATCACCATGGTGTTTTAATTGGCGCTTTTGCAGAATTCTATGGAGATTGTAGCTGTAATATTGCGGAAGCTAAAACATTATGCGAGGCATCAAAATGTGCATTTCAAAGGGCTTTACAAATGTTATAGTTGAATCGGACTCATTGATTCTCCTTAACTTGATCAGAAGGATAAGGAAGCCTCCCTGGAGATTCAAAGATACTATTGAACAAATCCACAACATGACTAAAGATGCTAACTTTCTTTTTTGTCACACCTTGAGGGAAGGAAACAACTCTGCTGACAAGCTTGCTAACCTGGGCGAAGAATCCAAAATTGATTCTATCTTCAATGGGGCTGTATCATTACCTTCGAATGTTAGAGCTTCAATGAAGTTAGAAGTTGACAGGGTCCCTAACATCAGATTCAGACAGAAGAAAAACAAGCTTGTTATCAATGTCAACAACTAGCAGCAAGTTTCCTTCTCACACCTTTTTGTACATAGCATCCTTGAGTGTTACTACAAATTACCCTAGGATGCACAACTTCCTTCACACACAACCAAAATACTTTTGTTCAAATGTGTATCATAGGATGGATGTTATCACCTATCACACTGTCTTGGAGGCTAAGGCCTATATCCTCCTCCGTGTAATTATTATTTTTGATATATATACAGGTTGGAGTCACGCCTCAACTCCTCCATCATGATGATGGAACTATAAATTTAAAAAAAAAAAAAAAGAGAGAGAGTGAGGAACGGAGAGTAGGAAAAAGAGAGAGGAGAACAAAAATCCCTAGCACCGCAGCCTCCCTTTGCTGGAATTATTTACTTTTCTCTGGCCTCTCTTTCTCCATTGAAGTAAGCATTATCCTTTCACAATCTTTCCCCATGTAGAAGATCGAATGAGCTCAATCATCTTCCATCAAAACAGTCCCTAAAATCCACCTAAAACATCCCCCAAACACACCTCAAATTCACCAATTTTCAGCCCCTCATACTTCGCTAAACACCACCAAAATGTCATCCAAGAAGCCATAAAATAGCAGCTGAAAACTACCCCAAAACGACCCCAAAACCTCTAGTCCAAACTATTCGCCGTAGTTTCGCCGGAAGTCCCAATCTCGTTCTCATCTCCGTCGCCGGCATGACTGCTTAGTCATACTCTACATTGGAAACCTCCAACAGTCAGAATTGCATAATCATTAATTTACCGATGAGAGCTGATTGAACCTATTCGAGGTCGCCGGTGTGGCTTCCGATTTGCGGTCCCTTTCCATTTTCAAACAGCGTTATTGCTGTAAGTTTATTCAAAGTCTTTGTTTAATCAAATTTGGAGAAACAAACAAGGTCCATCTTTTCTTGAGATTACTGTTTCTTTAATATTGTGCCAGTGATTATTTGCTCTATTTTGTCTTTCCTGTGCTCAATTTATTTCCTTTGAATTGATATTTTATATTTAAATGATGAGATTTCATTGTTAGATGCTAATTAGCTTAGTGGACTAGTGTTTAATTGTATTAAAAGAACAAAGGGCCATGGGGTTTACTTAGTTAAAATTGAGAAGAATTAAGTTAAGTGGTCTTTGGAAAATAGTTAGAAATGTGTTATATTACGTGTTGGATCGTAAGGTGATATCAAAAGAATCGGATCGGATCGTAGGGTGATATCAAAAGAATCGGATCTGGGCCCAATGAATGTTGTTGGCCCGGTGTTGACAGTCGGAAGTACATAAGCTATCCTACCTTTTCTATAATTAATTTATTTCTTTTCCTCCATAATATTATCCATATCTCATGGCCTTGCAATAATCTCAAAATTAGCTTAGGAAAAATAATCGTTAGTATTCTTTAGGCGCGTAATAATAAATAGGTTATCATAATTATGTACACGTTCGCGTGACATGATTATGATTTCAAAAATTAAAACCAGGGAATGCGTTCACGCAACTTTGGGCGAAACAATCTTAAGTGCTATTAATTGTGTACACGTACGCGTGACATGATTTTTAACGCACTAAATAAAATGGATTCACAGACGCTGGTTCGTTTCTAGATAAATTCATAATGGCACAATTAAAAGCGGTGAAAAAAAATGTACATAGGTTTTAAAAGTAATTAAACAATTTAACTAGGCCAAGTATATTTAAAGCGACCGTGCTGAAACCAC